TCCCTTCTTGGAAGGTCAATACTTGTCTCCTTCTCTGCTCAGAACTCCAGTTAAAAAGAGCTCGGAACACTCACGTCTGTTCTGACCACAGAGGAAAAGAAGACTTAGAGAGTGGAGCCAGGCAGATGCTGGTCAGGGCTGGGATGGGTAGAAAGAGGGACGTCGCAGCTCCTCTGGAAGGCTCCTCACCCCCCCACCACCCTGTGCCCTTTCTCTTTATGCAAATGCACACACAGTGCAATTGAGTTAATTAGCATCCACAGCTGGGAAACAGTCCGACTTTGGGGAGGGAGACATGTCTTACATTTTTTTTAAACAGCGAACAGCTGATTCCCTCCTTCCCTCCTAAGCCCTGGACTATAGCAAAGAGCAGGAGACTGCACGTTGGCTGGGAGACAGAGTAAGGGAGGGGGACAGCAGAGTATCCAGCCTGGCCTTGCTATTTTTGTCCTTTCTCAGGCACGGATCAGTGCCCTCAGCCAGCGCTGTCCAGTAGAACTTTCTGTGATGATGAAAGTGTTCTATATCTGCACTGTCCAACACAGTAGCCAGCAGCCATGTGTAGTGAAAGAGCAGTTGAAATGTGGCTACAGCAACTGAGGACTCAATTGCTAATTGAATTTAATATTTATTAATTTAGACAGCCACATTAGTTGGTGGCTGCCATATTGGAGAGAAAAAAAAAAAAGAAGCCCAGTAGACCCAGGGAAACTGAGTCCTTTCCCACCTTTGTGCTGCCCAATCCCTGCTCCCTGTGCCCTTTTGCAGCAGGATTACCATGCTTCAAGGCAGGGGCATGGATGAGATGACCTCTCAAGGCATCCACCAAGTTCCCGCCTGCCACAGCATGTTACAGAAATGCTTCTGGACTTCTCTTTGCCTCTCGGGCAAATTCATTCATGCATTTAAAGATTACTTGTTGAATACCATCCCCTGGAGAAGTAAAGATTAAGTGACAAAGCTCCGTCCTTAAGAGGTAGACCATTTAAATTCCACAAAGGGAGCCGGAAGAAACCCAGTCACTATTTCATTTCTTGTAGAGAGGTTCTGGGCACCTCCTTTCTTATCTTCTGGCTAGAAAAGTGTCTGGAGAGTCTCCCCAGGTGGAGGAAGCCTGGAAAGCCCCCCTGAGGTGTGAATTCTAAGTATGCCTCAGTTTCCGCAATTTCTATCAGTCAGATCCCAGGATCTGGGCCAACCACTTTTCTCTCTGTTTGAGTATGAGGTCAGGATAGAGGGGGACACTAACACCAGTACAGGATCAAGTTGTTAATGGTACCAGGGTGAGACTAAGGGCCCCAGGGTAGAAGGTTAGACTTCAGGGATCAGCAGATGCCCACGGGGGACCCTCTATTGCTATGACCAGGAAGCAAGATGGTGCTGGCCTTTTGAAATACACCTTTGCCTCTGCTGGTGAAGCACTGTACCCCTGCAAGAGAAAGGCAGCAGCCAGAGGACAGGTCTGGAGGAGGTGCCCAGTGTGGCTGCCCACCTGGGATGCCTCTGGGTCCGTAAAACTGGGCCTACACCCAGGTCCTCCCTGTTTGCTGGGTCTTGGAGGATGGCACAGCCTTCAAGCACTTGTTGGTGTCGCCATGGGGAGAAGGCAGCGCACCCACGTGTGCTTTGTGGGTGCTACTGCACTAGTGTGACTGGGACCTGGACAGGCCCCTCCAGCATTGGCCAGAACTGGGGCATCGAGCAGTTGGTTGGAAGGACTTGGGCTAGAAGCCACCGTAGATTCAGAACCTACCCCAAGGCCAATATGAGGATAATAGGGTGGCTCATGGCTTCCTTGATCATTGGATTAGATTGTGAAATGACAGGTCCTGCCCTACAGCTTCCAGGATGCRGGAAAGATATTGAGCATTCCATTTTTTCCATCTTCTGTAGAATCCTCTCAGAATGGCATCTAGAGATGGAGGTTTGGGGTGTGTATCTCTTCCTTCCTGGATGGTTTTCACAGTTGCAAATGAAAGCACTAGSGGAACTTTATCCCGTCTCCTCCTGCTCCCTCACCTGCCTTTCCCATCCTCTTGGCACAGCCCTAGCTTTCCATCTCCCTGAAGCTTTAAATGCAGGTGGAGACACACAAAGAGAGGGAAAGGATCAGAGTGATTATCAGAGAAGTAGATGCCAGATCTTAAAGTTGCTTACAGTCTAGAAATGAGCCTAGGTTGTGTAGGCCTCGGCCTCCTACGCCATCTACTGGTCATTTCCAGGTACTGATCGACTTGTCAAACAGTTTCCAGAGCCCACTGTAAAGCTCCTTTGCAGCTGTTCACACACAGAGCACCCTTCACCAGGAAGTCCTTCTTTGAATCCTACCTAAATCCCTTCTGCAACCTCAGTTTATCTCCCTTGGTGAAATAGCTCAAGAGTAAGCCAGTCTACTTGTGACCTCTTATTTCATCTAAAACTTAAACCYTTCCACAATTGACAACCGATTTATGATTCAGCCTTAAAGCTCCTGAGTAGGGCTAGCTGGCTCTGGCATTCCAACTGCAGTCTTGCTTTCCAACCCTTTAATCTTTGACGCTTTGCACTGGCTCCCCTTCAGGTTTCCACTGTCTCTTCGAAGCCTACAGGTGACCACAAGACCTTGGTTAGTATCTCTGATACTCGACTCTCCTGATGCCTAAGTAATAGGTCCCACGGGGTTAAGTGGCACCAAAAACCAGGAGGCATCTCAAAACCTTCAGCCTGCCCTTCAGAAGCAGCCAAAGAGCCTGCAAACTGGGAGCAGGGCTGAGGTGCCCGCCACCTCTGTAAGGTCCAGGGTTTGCAAAGTTCTTAAGTTAGCTTCAGATCAATACAGAACACTTCCAAAGACTAACAAGGGTCAAAATAAACTCACTCACAGTTTATTGAACAGTATCCACAAACTCTTCCCTTGATGACTCCTAACCTTGGTGACTCAAAGTTAAAGGCACTTCTCAGAGATGCGGGTCTTGAGTTGAAGGTCTTCAAGAACCTCACAGTGCACCATTGAGACTCCTGTGTACTTGGCCATGGGGGTGGGCTCAGTGGCCTCTTGAAAGCTACGGAGTGCGGCAGCTTCCTGGCTGTCTGCCCTTGAATCTGCCAGCTCTCTGGATCAGGCTGAGCAGACTACTGCAGGAGAGGCTCCCCCGCTGGTCAGCAGCCAGCCCCCTTACGTTATCTGGTCGTAGTCTCTTCTAGGTCGACAGCCCTGGCCTGTCCSCAGGTTGTCATGGCAACCATTCCCTCCCCACCTGCCTTCCCCCACAGGGATCCAGTGCTTTCTAAGGACTAGATGCATGGTGAGAGGCTGAGCCCAGTAGCTCAGTGAGGTGGGCCAGCAGCCCTCCTGGACCAAGGCTAGCTCTCCCTCTGCCCACTCACTCCCCCAAGGCCAAGCCTCAGGTGGGAGCCAGGACTAGAAGGAGGAGTCCTGGCCTTTCCATTTGCTCAGAGTCCCCAGAACCAGCCTTGCTCCTCCCGGCATCCACACCTGCAGCCTGATCTGCCCCACGACCAAGAAAATCTGGTTTATCCCAAGACGCTGCTCTTCTAGGTCCCCAGATCCCTAGCTCACACAGCAGCCTGGGAGTTCATTCTCACCACAGTTTTTGTGATAAAGTAGTGAGGGCACAGGGGAAGAGGGGCGAGAGGCCGCGAGGGGGACCATCCTAACTGGGCCTCCAAATGCCCCAAATGCCAGGAGCGGTGGTGCACACCCGTGATCCCAGCTATTCAGAAGGCTGAGACAGGAGGATTGCCAGTTTGAGGCTAGCCTGGACAACTTAGTGAGACCTTGTCTCAAGTTTTWAAAAGGAAGTGTAAGGTGGCTGGGGAGGTAGCTCAGTGGTAGAACACCCCTGGGTTCAGCCCTTAGTGCCATGAATACCCCCCAACTCATACCTGAATATCCTCTGGGCTGAGAGGTCAGCGGTCCTGGCCGACACCTGCCACAACAAGAGACAAAACGTCTTCCCCCAGAGCTGCTCTTTCCTCTCAACTTCCTCTTGTCTCAACTCCCCTGAATTCTTCCGCTCTTCTCCCGTCCCAGATGCCTAATCATCACCGTTTTGAGGTTTTGGTAGAATAGAATGTATTTCTTTACCACATTCGTTATCTGTGGTCACCCAGAGCCCTGTTTGAGCATTTGAAATGAAAAGAGGACAATGAGGGTCAAAAGAGGGGCTCCTATCGTCCCCCTGCCCTGGTCACACATCCTGGAAATCGCAAGCCAACGTCTCCCCACTCTGGGTCAGCTGGGTGCCAGGGTGCCAGGGAGCTGAGGCCAGAAAGTCGTGTGACTCGGAGAGACCAGTTTACTGGAAATCTGTGGCCTGAGAGAGGCTGGGCAGGGGAATTCACCAATCAACAAACCCATGAACCGAGTCCCACTCCTCTAAAGGTCATAAGTCAGCCAAGTCTAGACTGTCACCAAGTCACTCCTATATATAACTGCTCTGGCCCCAGCCAGCTGCCGCCTCGCTCAGAATGGAGCTGAGCATGTCCCAGCTGCCAGGACCCAGAGCAGAGAGCCAGTTCAGGGCCAGAGCAGGAAGCAAGGCCACCAGATGCCATCTGTCCCCACGCTGTTCTTCTCCTGGTCCCACGTTTCTGGTTCTCCGATCTCCCAGGTCCACTTCTTCTGTTCCTTATGATGGTCCCCACCACCCTGCCCCTCCTGCCCCTGGTTCCCCAGGTCCAAATGCCTCTAAATGCCCTGAAGTTCTAAAGCCTAAAGACCTGGCTAAGAAAACAGACGAGACTGCTCATGCCCAGACCCAGGATAGCCCTTCTCCTCCATCGGTCCAGATCTCAGGGTTCCTTGACCGTGAGCACCCCCTGTTTCATCTACTGAGCCCTCCCCCTAGCAGGGGACTTGCTTCCGCAACCCGCAGCTTTGTGAGCCGTCTCCCGGCCTTCCTGGTCCCTGCCTCCTAACGCCCCTCCCTCGGGTCCCAGGGTTCTGGACACTGTGCCCCAGCCCCTAGACGCTGACCCCTGACCCCTTCTCCCCACAGAGAGAGACTCTCGTGAGCATGAGGAGCCCACCACCTCCGAGATGGCCGAGGAGACCTACTCCCCCAAGATCTTCCGACCCAAACACACCCGCATCTCCGAGCTGAAGGCCGAGGCAGTGAAGAAGGACCGCAGGAAGAAGCTGACCCAGTCCAAGTTCGTCGGGGGAGCCGAGAACACCGCCCACCCCCGGGTCATGGCTGCCCCTGAGATGAGGCAGGAATCGGAGCAGGTGAGTCTCAGGGACTCTCTCCCCAGCTCTTCCTCTGCCACCACCCCCACATCTGACATCTTCTTGCATCTGGCTGGCCATCTGTGCAGCAGGAGATCCTAACAGAGAACCCGTGCTTGCCGTGGTCGCTCACCGTAGGATTTGGGAGGGTAGTTTCTGCCATTGCATTTGTCAGGACCAAGAGTTTGTCCAGGTGAGCAGGAAGAGAGCTAGTGTTCATTTAGGAAAGCACCGGTCAGCACAGGGACCACTCTCTAGGTGTGTGTTCTGGAGACAGAAACCTCGGGGCCTCGCTACTGGGCAGGTAGAAAAGCTGAAGGTGGGTGTCCTGGAAGGTGACAGGGCTCTGGGACTGCTAAACACGGGCTTTTTACACTCCCCAGGCACATGACAGGTGACAAGGAGAAAAGGTGTTTGCAGCAGCTGATGAGAACCCAGGGTGGTAGCTTCACCCCAGCAGACCCTTTGGCCCCCAGCCTGAGCTTCCTACCTGCCACCTGGGTCCTTTCCGCGTGGCCCCACCAGGCTCTCATTCCTCCTCTTCACACAGGGCCCCTGCCGCAGACACATGGAGGCCTCCCTGCAGGAGCTGAAAGCCAGCCCACGCATGGTGCCCCGGGCCGTGTACCTGCCCAACTGTGACCGCAAAGGGTTCTACAAGAGGAAGCAGGTACGTCTGCCAGGGCTGCTCCTAGACTCAGCTGGCTCCTGGCTCCTGGCACCTGCCAGGAAACTACTTCCGGGCAAGTGCCTGAGAGGCCTACCATTAACTCCCAAGAGCACCACCTCAAGCGCTTGGCAAAATGCTGGTCGCTGGGCCCCTGAGTTTCTGGTTGGCAGGTCTGGTGTACCTCTGAGCCCCGCCACTTACTAGCTATACTCCTCGGCCCAGGGACTTCAAGCCCCTGTGCCTCTGGTGCCTCCTGTAGAATGGGGACTATAAATGGGGACTACCTTCCTACCGATGGTGAGGAAGAAGCGCTTCATCTCCTGAGAGCTGTAGAACAGCCCCGCCCTGTGGTAAGCTGAGCAGCAGGGCACCTAACACCGCTCACATGTGATGTCCCCTTATGGTGACAGTTGTCATCACCCTGGTTATCAAAGAGTGCTCCCCACCTGCAGATCTCTGGGAAACACCAGGTTGAAGGACCCCAAGTGAGTAACACAAAATAGACATTGCAGGAGCCAGCTGAGGGCAGGCTGCCTACACGGGGGGCTCTGGGCTCCGCCGTGAAAGGGGACTCTGATCTCCAAGGGCTGGATGTGGCCCCCTCAACCCTCTGGTAGCGGGAGCCTCACTGGGGGTGGGGAAGCGGTAGGACAGACAGGAGCAGAGACTTGGGGTGCATCGTCCTCACGGGCCCRTTGCTCCCTCCCCCAGTGCAAGCCTTCCCGTGGCCGCAAACGCGGCATCTGCTGGTGCGTGGACAAGTACGGGATGAAGCTGCCGGGCATGGAGTACGTGGACGGCGACTTCCAGTGCCACGCCTTCGACAGCAGCAACATCGAGTGATGCGTCCCTTCCCCGTCCATCCTTCCCTGGTCCCCTCCCACCCCCAGCCCTGACTCCGGCCAGCGCCTCCCTCCACCCCAGGACGCCACTCATTTCATCTCATTTAAGGGAAAAAAAATATATATATATATATATACTTTTTTTTGAGGAAACTGAGGACCTCGGAATCTCTAGCAAGGGCTCAACGTTGGAAACGGCAACCACAGAGATGGAAAAAGATAAGGAGATCCCCCCACCCCGAAAATGGTTTTCTTTTTGAGGCAAGTTGAATGGACAGAAAAGGAATGAGAGGAAGAACAAGACAGAAAGAAGGGAAGGGAGTGTTTGCGTAGAGGAGCTGGAAGACAGAGGGTTAGGAAAAGGAAGAGAGARCAAGCTGGGCAGGAAGGAGGGACCAGGAACCAGGGCTTCATGCAGCTCTGACCTGGGCTCCGAGAAGTTGGAGTGCTAGGTGTGGCCTGAGACATGACATCAGTGACATCAGTGACCCCCTTGGAGTTTGGATTGGTCAGTGCCTCTCAGGTCTGTCTCCTCCTCTCTTCTCACCCCCCGGGGGAGCCTAGTCTCTCCCCCTAGACTCAGAAGATGAAGATGCCTTCCATGACCCTGAAAACAAGGCAAAATCGTAACCAAGTGATATTCGATAGGTTTCCCTAAGGCGATTCATAAATAGGAATTCTGTGTGCACATTTCACTCCTTGTGCAGATTTTTAAAAATCAACACACACCCCCACGTGGGAAAGAATYGTTCTTCCGGGGTGACTCAAGATGAGCCGAAACATGGGTCTCCGCCCCTTGTTTTTGTTGTTGTTTTTCAATTAGCAACTAGCGCAGCAGCCTCTGTGGAGGAGGACAGGCTGGGGACAAAGTGGGCTTGTATTTATCTACAAGGCTCCGTATAGTCATATATAGGCATATAAATCTTTTTTTTTTTTTTTTCGTATTTCTTTCTTCCTCTCTTTCAAGGGTTTGCATTATCTCTTCAAAGTAGTTCCTATGGGGCACTGAGGAGCTTCCTCATTCTGGGAAAACCAGGAAAATCCATATTCTCCTAATACCACCCATAACACTAGCTTTGCCTGCCTCTGGTCAKTGGTTTCCCATGAGCCACTAGCTCAGCTCTTCATGGGGCACCGTACTGGAGGTCTGAATGATTTCCTGCATGTATTCACGGGGACCCACCAGCCAGGTGCTGCCAGCACCCAATGGTGCACACACTCTGCTGCCCAGCCCACCTCGTCGCAGCGTACAAACCTTCAGGTGTGGTCTCTGGACACCACACCAAACGAGCCCAGCTCAGGTCCAAGTTTGACCTGCTGGTCCTGCCCAGCCTTTTCCCTGGCACCTGGGCAGAACTGCATTTTGAAAGCCTCCCTCCGTCTGCCTGCTGGCACAGCCAGAGAGAGACCGACGTGAGAGAGGGCAAGAGGGAGAAGTTGGAGTGAGGTTTCGGTAGAGGAAGACAGGAGCTGGAGTGGAGAGACAGGGCCAAGCAACAGAGCAGGGAGGCCAGCAGAACTTCCCTTGGCTTCCCCACCTTACAAGCCTTCTGGAATTCAAGAGGAAGAAGGGAGGAAAATGGGGGAAGAGGCTATGAGATAGAAATGAGCCCAAGCCAGGCCAAAGAGCCAGGGAAGGTGACTAATGTTAGGTGGGTTTTAGACCCCAGAAGCTGGGTGGGAACAAGGATYAGTAGACTGGCCACRCAATGCAAGGGACAAGACGATGTGCTCAGGTGTCCCACCTTCAGCCCACCAGGAGGGACTGTCAGAGAGTCTTTCAAGACCTTTGTCCATCCCGGCCAGTCAGTGTGTCCTCTCTGGAATGGAGGACAGGAAGAAGACCTGGGACAATCTGGGAATTGATGCTGTCATCTCTCAGCCAAATTCTGATCCAAGAAAATCCCATTCTCCACTGACTTCCTCAACAAAGGGGTAGCCTTGTGACTGGCCTCTAAACCTAAAGGTCACCTGCCAGGAAAAGGGGCTTGGACACTGGTAAAGGAGACCCTTTTTTGCTGTGGACACAGCTCTCTGCCCTCTTTCCTGAAGGCACGGCACGCCAAACGTGGGACAACAAAGAGGGACTGAGAAGAAGCCAATATGTTCCAGCTGATGGCAGACCCATTGCTATGGAGCTTGGGGAGTGTCCCCCACTCCCCAGACAGGACAGTTGGCTGGGGATGAGAAAGGTGGTCGGTCTTCACAAGACAAAGGGCCCGATGGGGATGGCAGCCGTGAGGACTTATTGGACCTTCCCGGACAGCGCACCCCCATCTCTCTGCACAACTGTCCCCAAACCCCCAAATCACACTTCTCTGTATCTTAGGCCAGTATCCTAAAGCTTTTCCATGTCCCTTCTGCCATTCTTTGGATCTTCAATCGTCATCTAGCTGGGATCTGCCAAGGAGATCCTGGGGTGCCATCTCCTCTAAGAAAAGACTGAGCCAGGAACTGCGTMCCCCGCCCCATGCCTGCACCTGATTCCTGAGAGAGCCTCTGTCTTTACCCCACTGTTTGCTGGACCTGGATCGGGCTTCTGCCACTTACTTGTGAGAGTTCATTGCTGTCAGCTACAGCAAAAGTGCTGGGGGCGATGGCCGAGTTTAACACCAGTGCCGGTCACCTCAGGTCTCCTAAGTTCCCACCTGCTGAGCCAAACTGCAAGCTTCCTGGTCTGCAGGGGTGCATCTGGGCAGCTGGGCTCTCCCGAAAGGAAGCTGGACTTGCATGGACAGATGGAACTAAATCTCCCAAATGGGATGTGTGRCCAAGCCCAGGTGAAGCCCAGAAATGAAGTCACTGAGGGCAGAGGAACCATCTATCCCTTACCAATGGAGTGGGAAGGCAGGTTTGCCATGGTGGGAAGTCCTGAGCCCCAGCSGGCCTTTGGCCACTCTTAGTTCCCCTCGAGGCCTTAGTCTCGGGGTTATCTGTGGCCCAGGTCTAAGTTTTGCCTGCCCCCAGCCCACTCCCACAAGCCTGTCCCCTGGCCCTTTGACTCATGCTTCACTCCAGTAGTGGAGAAGATACCTCTGTCTTCCCCCACGATCGCCAGGTAACTGAGGGGTGCCTGGCCAAGACTGATTCTCCTCCCCCAGCCCGCCCTGACTCACCCCGCCAAGTAGGGCACCTGGGGAGGAAGGGATCAATGTTTCTCAGACAGCCAGGCCGAGGCAGACAGGCCTGGGGACACCAGCCCCACACTGGGAGGAAGGGAGGCCCAGGAGGCCCTGTGTGGCCCCTCCTCTTCTCCTCACCCCCTCTTCCCATCACCCCCTCTTGTCTCCATGGTAACCCTGCAGTTTAACCTCCTCTGGGGGAGGTGAACCTCAGCCACCCTTCTCCCACCACCAGTTCCTTAGCAGAGACGGGGCTGCCATGGCAACTGCCTGGCCCCTGGGGCAGGGCAGCCCCCCATCTCCATCCATCCACTCAGACCCCTAAAGGGCTCCAGTTCAGAATGGGGACTTGAGAGAGGAGTGGCCCCAGAAGAAGAGACCCTCTGGTCTCCGAGGAACCTTTGGCCTTCVGAGAAAACGAGGCCAAGTTTTGAAACAAGGGGAGAAGGGAACAGGGTTTGACCAACCGCAACCTGGGTGTCGTACTGTCTTTATTTTTAAAAACCACTAAAGTGCAAGAAMTATTTTGCACTCTTTCTCCACCTTTTTCTCCCCTCTCTCTTAGGTTTTATTTCTTTTTTTAAACATCCTTTCTTGGGTTTCGAATGGAGTTTATAGTTCYGCCATTTCACAGACTCTGGCCTCCACTCCTCAGATCTTTCCAGATGGGGAAGGGAAGGCKGGAGGGACAGAGGAGAAGGGGGTCCCCAGCCACCCTGTGCTCGTTCACCCCACTTCTCTGGTCCCTGGTCACCCGCCTCAGCCCCATCTCCACCATCACCACCGTCACACAGTAGCCCACAYGGATAGCACAGTTGTCAGACAAGATTCCTTCAGATTCCGAGTTGCCTACCGGTTGTTTTGGTTTTTTTTTTTTTTAGGACAGCAATAAACCACAGCATATTACTGTAGTTCTTTATAGTGTTACATACCATAGACATACCATAGCTCTGTTCTCTCTCATTTGTTTTCAACTTTTTTAAGAAAGAAAGAAATAAATGCTCATAATCTTTACTGATGAAAAGGATGGAAAAATAAACAAACCAACAAACAAAACCAGTTTGTGGGAAAAAAAAAAAAAAGGCAAAAATCGTCTGAATGCGGAAGAGCTCGGCTCCTGTTTAGCGTTTTGTACTTAAGGAAATAAAAAGAAAAACAAAAAAACAAAAACAGAGAATCTCACGTTTTATTAAGAAGTGAAGATTKCTGTATACTATTTATTCAACTTCTAATTTATGTTACTCCTTGATCTTTGTCTCTTGTCATGACAAAGCATTTATTTAATAAAGTTATGCATTCGGTCCGCCTGCGTCGGCTTCCTCCAGGGGCGCAGGGAAGACAGGCAGAAGGGGAAGCCCGCAGGTCACAGACCAGAGGGAAGGACAAAGGACCTCGGCGGGGTCAGGGCCCAGGGCCCACTCCCTCCAGAGGGGACCCCCGAATGGAGGAAGGCTTCTCCCCGCAGACAACCCCACCCTCCAGGACTGGAGTACCCCCTTCTTCCTTCCTCCACCTGTCAGGGCCTCCCTTTTTGTGGACACAGCCTCATAAGGGGACAGCCATCGAATGGACACAAAGCACTTAGAATTACGGGCCTTCAGTACAGGTCTGGCGACTGTTATGACTATTCGCATTATTACATCATTTCATCTTAGCCACGCTATTAAACAAAGTGGTCTCCTTCCACCTTAAGCAAAAGATGAGTCTTCTCCTTGTAGAAGATGTTCAGAAAGCCATTTCTAGAATGTTCCTCAGTCCCTTATTCTGGTGCTTCTTAAGCCGTTAGCTCCTGGGAACCTCTGGTCAAGGTGGCTCCTACCTCCAATTTCTACCCAGCCCCCGCTGCTGTTTGTGCCCAGTGAAGAGCAGAGATGTGAAATGGCCCTCAGATTTCAGCCACAGCCCCTACCTTCCGCCTCAGACTCCCTGACTTCCTTCTTCCCATGCCCCCTTTTTCCCTCGGCTCTTTCTCTCGTTCTCCCTCCTCTCTTCAATCACAGAGCCCAGCAGAGCAGGCTGCCCCTCAGGATCCCTCCGAGGGGCCCTGTAGGCCTCCCAGGCCATCACCACACCTGGGGAGGCAGAGGTGGTGGCATCTGTATTTGGCCCAGCTCAACGGTTGAAGCCTTCGGGAACCTGGTGTTTTGCTCCAAGTCACATGGAGTTATCGGGGTGTCCCTGCCTTGATGAGGGGACTGGCCTTTCATTAAGCACATATCCTTCTRGGGTGGCTGAAACTCTTCCCTGAGACCTCCCAGCACCAGGTTCCCTCAAGCTCAAGAGGAGTCGGTCTAGCCCAAAAGACCAGGAACAGCGTTCCAGATGCTGGGCCACCTGACTCCACCCTGCAGTGTGGGCAGCTAGTGCCCAGCAGGGGACAGAAGGTGGAACATATGAAAAGCAGGTGCRGCAGGAGGTACAGAGAGGGAACAGGCTCCTTCTCCAGGCACCTTGAAAGGAGATGGGAAGAGGAATCTGTGGCACACGCCTGTAATCCCAGAGGCWGAGACAAGAGGATTGAGAGTTCAAAGCCAGCCTCAGCAAAAAGCGAGGCACTAAGCAACTCAGTGAGACCCTGGGGATGTGGCTCAGTGGTCGAGTGCCCTGAGTTCAATCCCTGGTAGCACCCCACCTCCCTAAAAGAGGAACGCATGGAAGGCCAGACACAGGATGCTACCTCCCCGGAATCTCCCTGGGAATTGGTTCACCCTGCCGTCATCCACACTATGCCTGGAGAGGGCAAGAGCCAGGATCTCCCCCAGGCTCATCTCACCCTTGGGGCTCATCTCGTCCCCAGCTATCATGTTCCTAGCCCACACACCCTTCCCCCACTCCCTCCTCATCTCTTCCAAGGGTTATAGCCTTTGTCTTCTAACTCCCTGCACGAGGTATGTGGCCATTTAAGACTCTGGCTCTTGGCCACTCCACCCCTTGCTCTCCACCTGCACAATTCAGTCTAACTCAAAAGGCACCTTAGCAACCTTATGATTCACGGGGGGTGTGGGGTGGGGGGGGGACTTGCAGGCTGAGCTGGGCCTGGCATCTGCTTGACTCCCACCCTCACACCCAGGGTGTGGTGGCTGGTCCAAGGTCACATAGTTCTGTTACGCTCTGACTTCAGGGGTTTTCCTCCCCATCCACTTCGTTATGCTCGAGCCTTGGGATCCTGAAGGGTTCCACATCTAAACTTTGAAAAAATCCCACTTTCATTTCCATCCTACTATTAAATGAGGGAAATGGGGCAGAACCCACGAAGCCAGCATTTTGCCTAATGGAGAGTCAGGATGAAGTCTTGCCCATTTTTTTTTTTTTCCTAATCCCTCAGCCCTCCCACTCTGCTTCTGTCTGGGCCTCACCTGCCTGCAGGCAGCACCTCATCCTTGGATGAGCCCCTCCTTCCAACATAGTTCCTCCCGCACAGTGCTGAACCCCAGGGTTAGGGGAAAGGCAAAGCACCTTCCCCACCCAGTGCCCCCCAAGAAACTCAAACTCAGCATATCCTCATGAATTCATCCTGGAGCTCAGGTACTTTCCTCTATTATCACCACATTATATACCCTACGAAGTTCAAGTTCAATATCATCTTCCCTGGAGCCATCYCTCTTTCCTTCTTCTCTTTACCCTCTGTGTTGCCCTTGTCCTCCTCCCCCTGCTCCTCCTCCTGTCTCAGGCAATGGCACCTCCATCTACCCAGCTCTCTGAACTGGACCCTGAGGTACCAGTCCTGACGCCTCCCTTAGACCCACATCCAATATGCTGCCGAGTCCTGGGCTCCCTGCTTCACATCAGTTCACCTTCTAAACACAGACCCAATTATTTTGTACAACCTGAGCCTAAATTCCTTCCTCGATGCCTCCTGACTTCCGCCCCAGGTTTAAAAGGCCTTAGTAAGACACCCACTGTCCTTCCCGAGGGGCCTCTCTCTGGCTTCCTCTTCAGCTGTCCTCTGCCTGAATCTCGCATCAGCAAACACAGTCTCAACCACCTGCACATCTCCAAGTCCATGGTGCAGCTCAGGACTGAAGTCTTTGCTCCTGAATCTTGTCCCTTGCACACATGCACACACATGAATTCCCACACATGCACACACATGAATTCCCACACATGCACACACATGAATTCCCACACATGCACACACAAACACACRTGTGCACGCATGGTCCTTTCCCCTGACTGCTGCTTCTTCCTTACAACTCTGCCTCTGCACCTCCCTCTGAGATGCCTTCCCTGGCAGCAGACCTGCCTGTTCTTCCCAGTCGCCTCTAGAGCACCTGCTGGAGGGCACACCTCCATCACACTGCATCCCGTGGCTGTCATCGCTGATTTATGAAGCTGTTTTGCTGCACTGGGGTATCAGCCCTGCAGTGCAAAGGCCACAATCTTTTTCATCCCTGCACCCTGACACCCTGCCACTGAGCCTGGGATACAGTGATAAGTGTATTTAAGCAACATATACTCTGTGATAGAAAAAAATTCATATTCTCAAAGCTACTCTTTGAGATAGAAATGACCCCAATATTTAAGATGAAAATAAATGAGGTTCATAGAGGTTAGATATGTGTCCAAAGTCACATAAGATTCAGTGACTGCAGCAGGGATTCTGCAAATCTGGGTGGTTTGCATCTGTGCAGTCACGCAGGGCCCTGTGCTTGGTTTAATGCTTTTCTGACTCTGTCTTAAAAGGCTTAGTGATTCCTGAACAGGGGGCTCCAATTTTTCATTTTGCCCTACAATTTAAGTCTCCAGTCCTATATACAAATCACACAGGAAGTATATTTAAATGCATATTCACAGGTGCCTTCCTGCACTCCTAACTCAGGTAATCTGAGAGGTCTAAGACTCTACAATTAAGGAGCATCCCCATTTGACTCTTTCTGGATTCCTAGGATGGCCTCTCAAGAAATAAGGCTTCACGACCCCAAATAGGCTAAGCTGTAGTTCCTCAGGATGCCACAAGGTGACAGTATAGCCCCGCATTTGGCAACAGCCAACCTTGCAGTTAGAGCCTGAACTCAGGTGAGAGACATGCTGGACTCCTTCAAGATCCCTGCGGGCCAGCTGCCTGCCCACATAGATGCAATTAAACCTTCCTCCAGCAAAGGCTTCCTGGTTGCAYTATATTACAGTTAATGTGGTTCTTGTGGGCAGAACTACAGTAGAGGTGCTGCTCACACATTAGAAGTCCCCTTCCTCCTTTGGGCAAAGGACATGAAATGGGCAGAATGGCTACAGCATCTCAGGAACCCTCTGGAGAATGTTACAGAAAGGACCTAAGCAGGGTGGCAACCCTGAGGCCCGGGGCTGGCAGAGTGCTGATCCAGCAACATCCCGTGAAAATTCCCCCGTCTGGTAGTGTTCCAGTTGTACAAGCACTTCACACCCACAATCTCATGGGGACATCACCATTATTCAAGGCTCAAAGCATTGCCATTAGGCAGAGAATAAAAACTGTAGCTCAAAAAAGACAGGGACAGCTGGGCACATTGGTACACGTCTATAATCCCAGCGGCTCGGGAGGCTGAGGCAGGAGGATTGTGAGTTTAAAGCCAGCCTCAGCAAAGATGAGGTGCTAAGCAACTCAATGAGACCCTGTCTCTAAATACAATGCAAAATAGCGCTGGGGAGGTGTGGCTCGATGGTTAAGTACCCCTGTGTTCAATACCTGCCACCCCCAAAAAAGGACAGGGACACCACCCATGGGAACGCAGCGGTGCATGGTGGAACCATCCAAACCCATCCATCTCACCTCAGCCCTGACTATATCCATCAGAACACCTGAAACCTTATGAAAGAAAAACACCCTGCCTGGCTGCCCCGCATACCCATCAGTCCAGAATCTCTGAAGATGAGATCCTGACATTAGCATTTAAGTGTCCCTGTCCACTCAAACATGCGCCAAGGCAGAGAATGACGGTGCTTCTCAGCATAGTGCCCCAAAACCATTCCAGTCTCTCCAGGAGTCATGTCCTGCTTCTGCCCACAGGGGGGCAGCATAACCCAGGCTGAGCAGCAGCCTGCTGTGGATTTAGGGGGCCTCCCGGGCCCAGGGCAGCAGTTGGGGAACTTCTGAGGACCTTTCCCTCATCTGTCAAGTGAAACCACTACCAATGCCTTTTTCATGAGTTCGTGAGGATGAACCGAATTCACGTACTTTCAGGGCAGCTGGACTGGTGCTGGCCCTGGCCTGGGGCAGCCTCTGGCAGGGATCTCTCTGTTCTCTAGGATTTCTCGCACTCCAAGTAAGCTCATGTCACACCTGGCAAGGACCCCTGTGTCCTCAGCCTCTCCAGGCTTTCTAGACAGAAGGTGGGAGGTGCACAGGGCAAAGCCACTGGAGGGGCCTCCCAGGGGCCAGAGGGTCTGACAGGGGCAGGGAGTACCCCGAAAAGTCATGGCAGCACCAGGAGCTGGGAAGGGGGTTAAGTGGGCCTTATGATGCCGCCACTCCTCACCATGTGGCCCACTGCCACGCAGGGAGAGGGAACCCCCAGGCTCCACTAGGTCTTAGGGGGACCAGAACAAAGTGATAGAGCTGGGACACAGAGCTTAAGAAATAACCCCTGCTTCTGTACTGTCACCCCGTTTCCACAGCCCCTCAGCCTGATTTACACCCATGCCGTCCTTTGAACCCAGTGGACATTTGCCAGTCAGGGGGACAGTTATTGGAGCCCCTCAGAGAGCTGCTCCTGAATTGTCAGGAGTCAGACCTTCGCAGATAGGCTGGTCAGCAACAGCCCCACTCTTTCCCTGGGGCAGAGCTGAAATGCCTCCCCTTGGGGTCAAGAGGGCACTCTCCTTTATTTTAGGGCCAGAGAGCCCCAACGTCAGTGTTTCCAGTTCCCTGTCTTCCACTAGAGTGTCATCTCACTGTGGCAGAGAGGAGCACACAGACTTATGCTCTCTACCTCTCCTCTCCCACCACTTGCCCTGCCCCTATAAAGGGCCAGCCAGGGTCCCCATGGGGGCAGGAAGCCTCCCCTAAGAGTACAGATAGGGGACAGCAGATTCCTGGGGCTGCACTGAGGTGTTCGATCTGGACACAGGAGGCTGCCCTTCCCCCTGCCTGCTAATTCCCACTGGGGTTTGGAGGTGGGGGGCTAGAGCAGTACCTTTCCCATTCTCCTGAAGGCTCAACAAGCCTCAGGAACTCTTTCCCAGGGAGGCCCCAAAGATTCAGGCAAGACACACTCTTTAATTTTCCTTCCTTTAATCTTAAGCAAAAAGAGACACAGGGGTTCAAAAATAAAAATTTCTTTCTCCCCACCCCTGCCCAAACCTTCACCCAACTCCCCCAGCACAGACTCCCCTCCTCCCCAGGGAGAAGCAGGAAGGAGGGGAGCAAGCATCTCCAGCTGGGGAGGGGCAAGGCAGAGGGGGACGTGCCGAGCTCGGTGCTGGTCTCTTTCCAAATATAAATACATGTCAAAATGCTGGAAAATCCTCCACACCCACCACCCAAGCACTCTTCATTTCCGCTGTGTTTGGAGAGGTGGCGGGGGCCAGGCACCGGCTGACTGTGGCTTACTGCGCCCTCTGGGCCTGCGCCCCACCAGCCTCCTGTTGCTCATTGTAGAAGAGATGGCACTCGGGGTCCCCCCGGACGATGGGAGCTCCCTGGATCAGCTTCCCAGTGTTGGGGTTCACACACCAGCACTCCCCACGCTGCCCATTCAGAGACATCTTGCACTGGAAGAGACAAGAGGAGAACTTGGAAGACGCCCCGGCAACCGTCCACTTTCTTTCCTGCACTCAGCTGAGGGTTTACCCAACAGCCACCCTGAGCTGAGCTAGTGCTGCAGGGTGGCACATCCCAACCTCCCAGGTGCACTGGGAATCCTGACAAAATACAGATTCCCGTTCAGGGGGTGTGAGGCAGAGCTGAAACTCTGCCCGGTAACAAGCTCCACAGGGACGCGGAGACCCAGGGATCCCTTCAGATTCCCACGGGCAAAGGCCCAGCTCCCACCCTCGAAGAGGTCCCCCCAGTGGAGGACCCAGTGGAGTGTGAGGTGAAAAAACTCATACCAGAATAAAAGTAAGTGTGTGCCATATGTTATACAAGAGAGATACCACCATTCCCATCATCCTCACAACCACCTTGAGAACTAAGTTTCCATGATGATCCCCGTTGGTAGGGGAKGGACTGAAGCACATTGGTTAAAAACTTTGCCCAAGGTCACACAGCTARTAARGAACCAAGCTGAGATTCAAACTCGGCATGCACATYCCAGGGTCCCCACTCTCTAAACCATAAGTTAACTATTACACTTATGGATCACTTTAGTTACCTCTAGGTACAGTACACAGCCTGTTTTTCATAAGAGATCATTACTCATTACTTCTCCTGTGCTCCAAATGAAGTAGGTGCCTTACATCGGATGGACAGATCTACAAATAGCTTTTAACACCTGAGCAATGTTTCAAGAGGCAAGATGTGGTGAAGGATGTGGGGTAGTGAGACCCCCAAGGGATCAACCCCATCTCCTGGCTCCATGCATCCACCCTTTAATTCAATGCCAACTGCTCATTAGGATCACTAAGGGTGCTTTTAAAAACTCTGTCCCAGAAAGCACCCCAGACCCCTAAATCTCTGGGGTCAGCCCAGGCATCCATATTTTATAAAGCTCCCAGAAAATCCCAGTGTGCAGCCAGGGCTGAGAACCTCTGCCTGAAAACAGAAAGAGCTGCAGACGGCACTGTCTCCRTCTCATTCCTACAGGAATCGTACGCATCCTCCTCGCTATAAAAGGGATGTGGAGGTGGAAGCCAGGGGTGGGCTACGGAAACTGACAACTGATCAGTGTTTCCTCACTACAGTGATAAGCCACACAGGGGTCTATGTGGAAAATATTTAGAATCTTAAGAGGGAAATACTGCAAATGCACATTGATCACTCAAATACAGAAAGGAGAGCAGAACAGAAAGGAGAAGCCAGAAGGGCAAAGGGCTCCTGGTAAACTTCCTCCATTTTCTCCAATGTACTCAGAACGATGTTCTGGTCGTTTTTTCAGAAAGATTTTCAATGGTATTTCTCTATCCCCSATTCTCGTCCCCTGAGATACTGAAAACCAGAGCAGCTACCTGGACAYTGGACTAAATTGGCAATTCTGAGAATGTGGTTCATGGACAACCATCAGCATCGCCTGGAGCTTGTAGAAATGCAAACTCTTGGTCCCCATCCAACACACCCCATCAGCCTCTGGATGTGGACCCAGAAATGGGCTTCAGGTGACTGTATTCCTCTGTAAAATCCRAGGTGGTTGCTTTACGCCCACTTCTCCTGGAGGCTCCCTCCCCACCTGGACACTAGCACCATGGGCAGGTGGCTGGGAGAGTGGAGGCAGCCCCACCCTCCCTGGCCTGGCAGCTGGCACTGCCATCCCATCCCCATGGTTACAGAAGCCTGCGTCTCAGCTCAGCTCTCGGCTTCAGAGGATTAAGGGTAGRTGGGGCAGGAACCAGGCCCACCAGGGCCCCTGGCTGAGAAGAAGCCTCTCTGGCCCGGGTTAGCACCCACGCTCACCTGTTTGAGGTTGTACAGGCCATGTTTGTCACAGTTAGGGATGTGCAAAGAGTAGAGGTGCTCCAGAGGACCCCGGTCATCAGGAAGGCGCATGGTGGCGATCCGCTCCAGGACCTGGTCCAGTTCTTGCTGGCAGGGGGTCTGCAAGCAGCRGGCACAGAGTGAGAAGAACAGGCACACAGACGCTGGCCCTGGATATAGTCTTGAAAGCAACATGTCCCTGGGGAAGAGACTCCCAAGGCTACGCAGCTAGTAAGCACGGCCAATGACAACCAGTCCGGTGACCTCACTGTGCCCAACCCATCCCTAAAGAAACTCATATGCGTGTGATTTTCACTCCTTCACTCCTTTTCTCCATCGTGATTAACAGGTCAGAATGGGCTACCTCCAGAGTGTCTATACCAAACCCAGGGCCCAAGCACCTGTCTCTGCCACAAACCCAATCAGGGCCCAGACCCGAGAAACTAAGACTCAGATGGAAAGGGGAAAGGGACCCACTGCAGCAAGGGTGAGCAAGCTTCATCATCCCTGGGCTCAGTTTTCTTCACTGATGTCCCAGAGCCAAGTAGAAATGCAGAGGTTTTAGAAGGAATAAACTTCAAGAAACCACATCGAGTTCATCTTACAGCCCAAAGGTCACTGAATATGTTAGYGGCAGTAATGGGAACAAAAATGCTCTGAGACAGCAGCTCAGCGCATGGTCCTGAGAGGGTGCCCTCTCCAGCTAGAAGACTCCCTTCCCATGCCCTCCCCCATCCACCAGACTCGGCCCCACTGACCCGGGCAGGTGGTGGCCGAAGCTTCTTGGGCTCCTCCAGGCCAAGGTGGTGTTTTCCTCCTTTGCCCATCTGCCGGTGCTGCTCGGTGACCTTCTCCCGGAACACAGCCAGCTCCTTCATGCCTGACTTGAGGGGCTTCCGGCCAGCACTGCCGCCACCTCCCAACATGTTCATGGTCCCATCCACATGGTTCTCGACCAGGTCTCCCTCAGAGTGMTCATCTCCACTGTCTGCAGAGAGAGGGAGGGAAGAGCTCTAGGCACACACTCCCAGGGAGCTGGGCCTTCCTGGACCCCCAACAACAGGCAGAACGGAGATCAGTAACACCCAGCCAGCGCCAACCTCGTGCCAGGGCCCACGCACGGCGATTTATGTGGACCACCCATTTGTTTCACAGTAACCCTTAGTGGTACCAGGGCACCCTGCCCAACCTCTAGATGGAGAAGTTGCAGTTCACACGGGCCAATTGCTTGACTAAGATCCTAAACCTGCTAAGTCATGGATCTAGGACTTGAACCCAGGCTGTGTGACTCCAAGGCTCTCAGCATAGAGTAGAATTAGGTCCTTTCTGGAGTTCATCAATACTTCTCAGGTTGACCCACCACTAACCCCAAGTTTAAGTACTTCATCACTTMTGGTCTGAAAGGTGCAGATTAAAAACTCATGCCACAAAGATCACTGGGCACTTCCAGCATGGGAGTGTCAGGTAGAGCCACACTGTCAGCAGAACCAGTCCCTGGCAGCCATTCCACCTCCCGGCTGAGAAGTTCCCATAGTGCTTTGCTCCTAGGCTGCTAGAGCACCACCCTATTGACTCTGCTGTTTCAGAGTCTGTGCTCTGTACCCCAACACTRTCACACTGGAAACCCCAAGAACAAGATCTCTGGCTTCCTGGACTTCCTAGTATCAGCCTGTCATAGGGCATAAGGCCTCATCAAGATGCTCCAAGGAACATCTCGTCTCTGCMGACTTTCTTAAAACTACTGTGTGCACAGCCCAGGTAGAGGGGACCTGGAGTGTAGCGCCCAGCTATCACAGTTTCACCCTGKCTGAGGAGGCCGAGAGGAACAGAATTGCATGGAGTTGTAACCAAGGAGACAAGTCCCAGCACGCTCTACAAGGGCAGGGAGTGACAACCCAGCCCCAGGGCCCCTTGTGAACACAGGCAGAGCAAACAGAGACCTGGACCACGCTGCTCAGAGCCAGAGTCTGCAGGTCCCAGCAAGATCTGAGTGGGTGCAGAGGGGGTGTTTTCCAACAAATCTTCCATCTTCTCTTCCCCTTTAATGTGCCTTATAAAACTTACAATCCTGGTCACARAACAGAATGGCTCTTAAAATATTTCCACACAGGACTTTGAGATGAGGCACGAAATGCATGGTGGTCCCTTTAGAATTCAGGTAGTGTGGTGGCCCCCAGGGTCCCTCTCCTGGGCAGTGCTACATGGTGGAAAGAGCCAACAAAGAGGAGCTGCAGTGCCCTCTGAGCTGCCGTGAATTGTGTTCAGCTAAGGGAAGGTCACCTCTTCYATACCAGCTACAGCCCTGGGGACAAGGGGTACAAAGGGAGGGTGTCCTATATAGACTCCAAGATCAGAAGCATTAAAGGTATCCGCCCCAGCCCTTCCCCTCCCACTGGGCAGATACTAGTGGGTTCTCACCGACTACCCAGCCTCCACCAGCAGCAGTGCTGGCTGAGGRGGGTGTACTCAGGTTAAGTCCCAGTTCTGCCACTTTCTCTATCAGCTGTGTTTCCCCTGAAMGTAACTTCTCTGTGCCTCCACTTTCTTAACTGAAAATGGCTCGATAATAATAGTTCGTTCTTTAGAACTACTGCAAGGATGCTGTAGGTAAAGCAGCTGAAACTGCTGCGGACAGAAACACGAGGCATGTTGCTCACGGTTATCACTTTTGACGGGATGAAGACTGCCTYAGTTATCTGTTGCCTCAGAACCAGGAAGCAAAGGAAAACAAGACTTTGAGCATCAAAACAGCTGTCACGACGTCCATGCGTTTTCAAATCTCCTGAGACCCGAGGAGAACCATCCCATGAAGATGCTTCCCAACACCGTTGCTCCAAGAAGCCCACCTTCTGGATGTCTGCTGTCCAAGCCCACCCAGACTAAAATCAAAGAAATTGAAAGGAGAGAGAAGGAATATGTGTGGACGGTGACAAGCAGTATCCAAAAATCCAAAAAACAGGAGGGGAAAAGGACACTAAGAAACCAACAGGCCAGGCACAATGGCACATGACTAATCCAGCGACTCAGGAGGCTGAGGCAGGAAGATCACAAGTTCGAGACCAGCCTCGGCAACTTCGTAAGGCCCTGTCTCAAAATAAAAAATAAAAAGGGCTGGGGATGTAGCCCAGTGGTAGAAAGTCCTTTGAGTTCAATCCCAGGAACCCCAAAACAAACAAACATAATAAGGACTTCAGGGGATTTTTTTTTTTTTTTTTTTTTGCACAGCAAACATGTTTTCTAGCCCTAAACAAGAATTTTATTGATGATGATGATGATGACCCTGGAGTATCACCAAAGGGGAGAGAGTCCAGTGCTCAGCATTAAAAGAGATTTCTATCCAAAACGGTTAAGCTTTAGAGAAGAATTTGAAATTTCTTGACTTTACAAACCTTCTGAAACCTGGAAATTTCCTCCACTTAGAATGGCTGTTTCTCCAGGGGTGCTGAATAGCCTAAATTGCACCATAAATCACACAAGATTCAAGCCCGTTCCTGCTGCCCCAGCACCAGCAGGGGAAGGCTGAGGACCTAGTGTGTACAGTCAGGCCGGTGAGAGACCTATTCCACCACGGTTCAATCAGCCCCAGCAGCCAGACCCAAGCTCTCCTCTTCCATCCTGACTCCTCCTTGCTGGGCTTTGAGGTGGGCAGCAGCAAAAATCCAAGGGCCCCAGAAACAGGTTGGGTTTTCCTGCTCAGCTGCCTGCCAGGTTCCCCAGAACAGAGACACCAAGTCACCCTGTCATGCTGCGCAGATTTCCTCTGTTCCACCAGGTCTRCAGAGGGTCACCTTCTGGGACTGGGCCATACAGCAGGGGTCAACCATGAAGATTGCCCCTGACTTCTTCAGACACAGAGGTGGTGGACAGAAGGCTGAGGTGAGCCAAGCCCGGACCATAGGAATGCTCTTCCCCAGGGAAATCTCCATCTCCTTCAAACCAACCTCCGAAGCACCAGGCAGATGCGGCCACAGAGSGGGACTCATCCCCATCCTCACTGCCCCAGTCCTGCTCCACTGCCAAACCAGCTTCTCTGCCTGGACTTGGGCCAGCTCCCTACCTCTCCCYGCGGCAGACAATGGGAACCCGGGAGGAAGAGAACATGGCAGCTTCCCTGGAATCAAATGGGAACCTCTATCCACCCTCACCCAAGCCTTTGCTCCCAAGATCTCCCTCAGTATCACCACTCCTCAGAGTCCTGTCCCAGCTGGCTTCCTCCCTTCTGGAGACTTCCATACCACTTTCAGACTGGACTCCATGAAATTAAAGAAGACCAGGGCTCTGGGAATCTGGACAACATAGTTCCATCACTTCTGGAAACTTCTAGCCTGGGCTCCAGGCCTAGGACTCAGAAGTTCACCTGGCTCCACCCTCTGGGGAAGAGGCCCACCTTGAAGACTGGCCAACAGCAGCCAGTCTCCATGATGGCTACAGTTCGTATTTTCTGGCAGAAGAAAGAAAAAGCAGCTCACCCACCTGCAGCTTCTGAGGAGGCTCCCCTCCCCCGAACCACTGCTTGCTACATCCTAGGGAACTGAGGTCTCAACAGCAAGACTGACATTCACCAGAGAATTCTCCGTCACAGGATCTGTCTGGCCTGTGCATTGCAGAATGTTGAGCAGCATCCCTGGTCTCTACCACCCAGATGCCACTAGCACCCTCCCAAGTTGAGACAACCAAAAATGTCTTCAAACCTTGCCAAATGGCACCTGAGAAGCAAACACTGATCCCAGGTTGAGAATCACTGGAGTCAATCTGACTCTAAAGGAAGCTCCCAGGCCCCACCTATGGCTCATTTAGCTCCGCTACGTTCTCCTGCAATGGCCGAGACCCAGCCACCACCCTCTATCCCCAGCCGCTCCGGTCCACAGCAGGGAGGAGCAAGGCCTTCTTGAGCATCCCAGAGCACTCTGCCTGCTGCTCCCCCTTCCCATGCCCTCCTGGGAGCTGGTGCCACAGACAGTGGCCCAAGAAGCAGCCCTGAACTGAGTCCTAAAGGTCAATCCAACACTGTATGCCAGAAGGCTCTCTGCCACCTCTGGAAACATTTGAAGAGAGACGGGGACACACAGACACCAATGTGAGCTCAGGCCTGAAAGCAGCCAGACTTGTCCATTAAGCAAAGCAAGCACAGCACTTAGGTGCCTAGAAAATCAGAAGGAAAAAAAAAAGAATTTTTTTTTTAGTCAAAAAGTCTCATGCTGGCTCTTAGAAAAACAGCCATAATGTGATTTAAAATGCTTTTTTGGAAGAAGGGGCATAAAAAAACCAAAAAATGTCCAGGACCCATGAACATCAATCATGTGACCCTGGCTCTGGATCCCAGAAGACAGGGCTCCACTGGGAAGTTTTTTCCTGGGAGGACAGAGTTGACATCCTGTCCTAACATGTCCCCAATCTCTCTGAGGTGAAGGTCAGTTTGTCCACCCTCACAGAGGCCATCTGGATTCAAGGGTACGTTCGTTCCATTTCTTTATTGATCTCACCCCTGCCAACAAACATGCCATTAAGATGAGGAAATCCATGGCCTGGCTTGCTGAYGCAGGCTCTTTTCAAAGGCGGTACAGCATCCACTTGTTTCTCTGGAACAGGCTTCGGGTCCTGAGGTCAGTGACCAGCTGGGAACACGTCTTGAAGTAGAAGTCCAGGGAAGAGGATGAAATGTCTACTGGTAGAGAGCAGAGCAGACTAGAGGCTGAGAAAAACTCTGATACCTTACTACTGCTCCCAGCCAAAGAGGTCTGAGAACTCAGGCCCCAGAGCTGAACTGAACTGCCTAAGTCTAACTACAGCTTTTCCATGCGGCTTTGCAGTTCTAGGCAAGTTACTGAAGCTCTCTGGGTCTCCCCTGCTCACCTGCTCACCAAGGACAAATGGCATCCAGYTCAGGTAGACTACTGAGAGGACCCAGGGGACACCGCATGCCAGTGCCGTGGCTGCTGAGATAGGAAGGCGCACAGGGGTTGGYCGCTGACTGCTTCCATTTCCTCC